CGACATCAGCAATTTGCCCCGAATGCGTAGGTGGTACTTTTCCGTGAAGCTTGCTTAAGAAGTAAGATGGTTACTGCTTGATGTGCAAGTATGTCTTTTTAGCACCAGTACAAGAACTGTGGATAATTTCATTTCAGGCGATGGAATTGGAAGACGACGAAGGCCAGGATGTGATGGTGGAAGTATCTATTTTGGCTCTGTGCAAGCATCCCAATATTGTCGAACTCTACGATGCATTCACAATGGGCAATCGTATTACGGTATGTTAGTAATTTCGCCGAATTTTTTTGTAAAAAAAAAGGAGAAAAAGTCATATTTTTTCATATTTCATTATATACTTTTTCATGAAATATGCCAAATATAACAGCGCAATTAATTGATCGTAGTTGATACGGCAAGTACCAGTAAAAAGCTGGCATTAGTTGGAGAAATATGAGCTACCTTGTAATATCAAAAAAGCGTAATATATATTTGGATGCCATGCATATGCATTTCCTGTTGTGCAACAGCTTCACGAAACGCATGTCGTTACCCCTCCGTGTGTGTGTGTGTGTGTGTATGTGTGTGTGTATGTATGTGTGTGTATGTGTGTGTGTGTGCATTTTGTCCGCAATTTTTAGCTCAGGAACCACGAAAGCTGGGAAACTGAAATTTTGAGGTAATCTTACTTCATATTCGACCTCAGAAATTTAAATTCAGTCCCCCATTTACCCCTAGCCTCATGTACGGACACGTGGGACTTTTAGCGCGAAGTTTTCCACGTTGGTAGTCGGCAAGGTAGAAAGCTGAAAATTTGCCATGATGCCTCCTCTAAATATATAACCCTTGAATTTCAAATTCAGCTTTCGCGCACACTTATGTCTTAGATGTGGACAAGTGAAATTTTTCGTGAGAATTTTTAGTTCGGAGACTAGGCACAAAACAAAAAGCTGAAATTTTTACTTATTTTTATAATCTTTAGTTGCAAGATTTAAAGAACAGGGACCGTTAGTTCACTTATTGATTCAAAAAGATACGGTGAAGTTGAGGAATTTCGCTTTCCTGTCAATATCCTTAGCAAAATGGACCCGGTTTGTAGCAGCTAGAAATTGGTTTTATTAGCAAGGAATGCTTTTCTTGGTTTATTCATTCTGCGTATGTTTAGCTTCTTCTGGAATACTGTGGTGGTGGTGCGGTGGATGGTATAATGATGGAGCTATCA